TCATTTCTGGCCTTTTCTGTTTATGTGGTACTAAAGAATCAAACCCAGAGCTTCATACATGCTAGGCAAACACTGGACCACTAAGCCACATTCCAAGCCCCATAAATGTCCTTCCTTTCTTTTCTTTCCTTTTTTCTCTTTCTTTCTCTCTGTCTCTCTCTTTCTCTTTCCCTTCCTTCCTCCCTCCCTCCCTCTCTCCCTTCCTTCCTTCCTTCTTTTTTTCCTTTCTCTTTCTCTTTCTTTTTGGTAACAGTCCTGGAGCTTGAACTCAGGACCTGGACACTGTTCCTGAGCTTTTGTACTTAAGGCTAGCACTCTACCCCTTTGAGCCAGAGTGCCATTTGCCATAGCTGGCTTTGAGACATCATTTTTTACAACCTAGCCTCATCAGTAGCTAGAATTACAGGCATAACTCACCAGCATCCAGCTCTATCCCTCAATACTTTGACTAGAGTTTAATTTCTTCTTACATTAAGAATTAAATAAAGGGGGCTGGGAAGGTAGCTCAGTGGTAGAGTGTTTGCCTTGCATGCATGAGGCCCTGGGTTCGATTTCTCAGCACCACATAAGCAGAAAAAGCCGGAAGTGGCGCTGTGGCTCAAGTGGTAGAGTGCTAGCCTAGAGCTGAAGAGCTGAGGGACAGCACCCAGGCCCTGAGTTCAGGCCACATGACCAGCAAAAAAAAAAAAAAAAAAAGAATTAAATAAAGGGGCAGGGCGCCGGTGTCTCAGGCCTGTAATCCTAGCTACTCAGGAGGCTGAAATCTGAGGATCACAGTACAAAGCCAGGCTGGGCAGGAAAGACTGTGAGACTCTTATCTCCAATAAACCACTCAGAAAACCAGAAGTGGCACTGTGGCTCAAGTGGTAGAGCACTAGCCTTGAGCTAAAGAGCTGAGAGACAGCACCTAAGCCCAGAGTTCAAGTCCCAGGACCGACAAAAAAAAATTAAATAAAGGTGGTTCAAAGCCAACTTAGTTAGGAAAGTCTGGGAGGCTCTTATCTCTAATACTAGTGGTATAAAGATAGCTTTAAAGGTATAGCACACAGTTCCTGAATTCAAGCCCTCATACACACAAAAAAAATTAAATCAAGAAAACAAAAAGCAAGATTTTGTTTCCATTTTATTGTTAGATTTTTGAAAATATTTTAAGCTATTTCAGTTTAACCTGAATATTCTCTCTTTACCCTAAGACAAACATTACACAAATGCTTCATTCCACTCCCTCTCTTTCTGGAGGAACTAGATCAATTTGGGGGGGTGGGGGAGGATCCTACTTCTTTAAAGTCTTTTCATTTGCATTGCTTTCTCCTATCTCATCATATTTTATCTACCCTTCCTTCATTTATTCAAAGGCCCTAATGCTCCATTCATATTGTCTTTCTCATCAATCTGCTTAGAACTTGCTTCCCTATGCTTTGTAACTAACACTCAATTTTTGGATCAGCCTAGATGTCATTTTCGCAGAGAGGCTCTCTCCATACCCCCAATCTAAAGAGATGTAGGCCTGATCTCTACTGCACTCTTCATTCATCGAGGAAACTTACCACAGGTTATAATCATATTTATTTTTGTGACTATTTGATTAATTGCTTGTCTCCCCTGGAAATATCATCTTATGAGGTTAGGGGCCACATCATAAAGCCAAACATTCTGACTTGCATACATTCCATGTTCTCAGCAGTGCTCTGAAGGGCACCAAGCACTTAGTTGCTTGTGGTCCTCAACTGATCCAGAGGCTTCTTCAGATCCTCAGTGGTCTCAGTGGCCTCAGTGCTGCAATGCGCACTCAAATACTATGGGGTTTCTTTGCTGGTACAGGGCTGCTGCTCCCACAACACGTAAGTTGATGTGCCTGGCCACTATTTCTCTATTTGGCTTTTAAGCACTTTATAATACATTGAAAATGGTCATGGTTTTAAAAATGCTGTTCAGATAAACTTGTTGGATGAATGGAAAATTCTTTTTATAAGGCATTTACTTCCTAAGAGATAAAGCTCAATAGTTAAGGGTCAAGTTTTCTTCTCTGCTTCTGTGTAAGCTTAAAACAAAAAACCAAATAGGCCAGTTCTAATGGCCAGCCTAGATGAGCTAAGAAAAATTATGATCATCAAAAGATAACATTTGGAAGGTACTGTACAGTTTGAGGTGAATGACTTAGATATCCCCAACATTGTAAATATTGTAAGAATGCTCAACATTATTTAGCTCTTGGAATAATAACAAATTTCTTTAGGTTCTCCCCAAATAGGTCAACTTGAAGACTTTAGCTAAGAGCAAAACAACAGGATCCAACTGTCTAATAATTATTTCTCCTGTCTGACCTCAATCACCAGAAAGGCAATCTGCTCTCAGAGGATGCAAGGCTGAGAACCAGAATCAAGAATATTCCCTTGCTGGCCTGGCTTTCACTGGTCCATGTCAACCTCAGCAATGAAACAAGGGCAGCAAAACTAATGTACTATATACAGTTATATATTACCATTCTTTTCTATAGGAGAAATACCCAAAATGGGGAGTTTATGGACATAGTAAACTCTGTTCTATTCAAACCCTAATGTTTTCTCTTCAATTCTCAGTTATAAGTTTTAGTAGGATATTGTATCTTTACATATATACAGAGAAGGTAGGCAAGAATAGTGATCCAAAGACCATCGGATGTAACACATGACTGAGAGAAACAAAAATATCTACATTGGAAAAAAGAAACTGACAGTCCTTAAGTACCAAAAGGAAGAAGTCACAGTGATAACTCAGTCTGCTATGCTTTTTAACACCGCATTCACTGGGAGAGAGCAAGAAAAGGGGTGACACTGTCCTAAATGAAATGTACTCTTTACCTGACTTATGTAACTGTATCCCCTCTGCACTTTATAATAACAATTTTAGAAAATTTTAAATTCTGTTGACCAATAAAATTTGCAGGAAATCAATTGATATGATAGAAGAACAAAATCAGCTGAGTATGGTGGGTCTATAATCCCAGCACCTGGCAGGCTGAGGCAGGAGGAACTTGAGGCCAGATTGAGCTATAATAGTGAGTTCCAGGAAAGCCATGGTTACTTAGCAAGGCCTGTCTCTATCCCGTCTGCCCTCCCCCTAAAAGAAGCACCTGGGTCTACAAACACATAGAATTCCTTTGAAATAAATAGCCTTCCTTTTCAGTGGATACTGCAGAAGACAAACCAGTGGTTCTATGGCTATTTCAAGATAGTAGTCAATAAAGTGTCTCTAAAGGGATTTGTATGCCACATATAATCTTTTAAAAATATAAATCTATCCTTAGCTCACAGGCCATAAAAAACAGGTAGTCCATAGACCCTGTTAGGAGTGTTAGTATAAATATGAATTTCACATGTTATTAATACTTTATTGTATCTTTTTAAAAATGTAAACAGGAATAAATACTAATAAATAATTTTAGTTAATACATAAAAATGAGTTAAATGTAATTATTATTAATTAGTGCTGGTCCTGGGACTTGAACTCAAAGCCTAGGTGTCATCCCTAAGGATTTTTGCTCAAAGCTGGCACTCTGACACTTTAGCCACAACTCAACTTCTGGCTTTTTGTTGCTTAACTGGAGTTAAGATTATGTCATAAACTTTTTTTTTGTTGTGGGTCCTGGGGCTTGAACTCTGGGCTTAGGCTCTTCAGCTCAAGGCAAGCGCTCTACCACTTGAGCCACAGCGCCACTTCCAGTTTTCTAGTGGTTTATTGGAGATAAGAGTCTCACGGACTTTCCTGCCTGGGCTGGCTTTGAACCGCGATCCTCATCTCAGCCTCCTGAGTAGCTAGGATTACAGGCGTGAGCCACCAGTGCTCGGCTGTCATAAACTTTTTCACCAGGACTGATTTTGAATTGTGATCCTCAGATCTTAGCTTCCTGAGTATTAGGATTACAAGTGTGAGCAAATGGTGCCTTGCTTAGTATGATAGCTTTCATTTGTCCTGAATATAAAATTAATTCTTTTTTCAGTCATGGGGCTTGAACTTGGGGCCTGGGCACTGACCCTGAGTTCTTTTTGCTCAAGACTAGGGCTCTACTTTGAGCCACAGCTCCACTTCTGATTTTCCAAATCTGGAGTTCATAAGATTTTTTTTTTTTTTTTTTTTTTTTGATCGTGGGGCCTGAACTCTGGGCCTAAGCGCTGTCCCTCAGTTCTTCAGCTCAAAGCCAGCGCTCTACCACTTGAGCTACAGTACCACTTCCGGTTTTCTGAATGTTTATTGGAGATAAGAGTTTCACGGAATTTCCTGCCCGGGCTGGCTTTGAACTGTGATCCTCAGATCTCAGCCTCCTGAGTAGCTAGGATTACAGGCGTGAGCCAATGGCGCCCAGCCGAGTTCATAAGATTTATAAAACCACACGGCTACAAAATCCAAATAAAAATGTAACTTTAAATAACCTTTTCCTTTCCTATTGCTGACATTCCTCAAAGCCCTAGTCCATTTCTCTCAAAATAATGAAAGGTTAGCAGAAAGTTCATCTATACCAGACTCACAGGATTTGCTGTCAGTCAGTAGGGGCCATAAAACAGTATGCTCCTAGAGGAAGAGCCTCTAGTAGAAACCACACACAAAATAGTCCAGCTCCTAGTTACTCAGGAGGCTGAGATCTGAAGATCATTGTTTAAAGCCAGCCAAGACAAGAGAGACTCATATCTTCAATTAACCAGCAAAAAGCCTGATGGGGAGCTAATAGCTCAAGCCTTGAGTGAAAAGCTAAGGGATAGCCAAATGGTAGAGCACCAACCTTGAGCAAAAAAGCTAAAGGACAGCACCAAGACCTTGAGTTCAATCACCAGTACTGGCACGCACACACACAAGCAAGGAAACAAAAGAGAAACCAAAACAAGAAAAGCAATGATCTATGTTGATCCATGTTCCTACTTAGGAAACAGTCAACAGCTATTTCAAGAACTAAAAGAATGCCTTATTTTGTACTGCTAGGCTTCCTCTTCAACAGTCAAGCAGCAGAGACATTTTCAGTTCATTACCTTTAGGAGGAAAATAGGACTTGCTTTCTGCTTTGTGAGGCCAGTCTACCACGAGAGGTCCAAACCTGCGAAAGCTGGCAGTGATCTCATCTACAAAACAAAGGAGGAATGTTAGCAAAAGAGGAAGAAAGTATTGCAATAAGAATAGCTTAAAACATGTTTTTTTACTTAAAAAAAGTTATAAGGAATATTTTCTAAAAGCACTTTTGCAGATGTCAAATCTACAAAGTGAAATAACATTGCTTAGGTGTACATTTATTCACCTTTAACCATGCAAAATGTGCTTGTAGCTATAGCTCATTTTCTTTAAGTGTCAATAAACTTGACATAAGGAAATTGGAAGAGAAAATCTAGTATTCGCTAAATGACTTCTATGTCAACTTCAAGGGATTCTAAAACTAACAATGTTCTCTCTTTTTTCTTTTTTTTTAAGGCAAAGGTACAGAAAGTAGTTGAAATATAGCTTCACGGGCTGGGAAGATGGCTCAGTGGTAGAGTGCTTGCCTTGCATGCATGACGCCCTGGGTTCAATTCCTTAGTACCACATAAGCAGAAAAAGCCAGAAGTGGTGCTGTGGCTCAAGTGGTAGAGCACTAGCCTTGAGCTGAAGAGCTGAGGGACAGTGCCCAGGC